GAGGTTACGAGTCAAGGTGGTGAGATGATGGAGGTTACGAGTCAAGGTGGTGAGATGATGGGGGTTACGAGTCAAGGTGGTGAGATGATGGAGGTTACGAGTCAAGGTGGTGAGATGATGGGGGTTACGAGTCAAGGTGGTGAGATGATGGGGGTTACGAGTCAAGGTGGTGAGATGATGGTCAGTGGTCAGTCGTCACGTGAGGTCACAGACCCTGAGCTGCTTTGGGGATTAGCGTGGACGGTTACAAAGCATGGCTTGCTTCTGCAGTGTTTTAAAAATTGAGGTTGGAGAGTTGAAGGAGGAGGTCTTGCTTCTCCAGGAGGAGATTAGGAGGCTGAAGGTCCACCTCAATGGGTCTGGGAGTGAGTGTGAGGTGGCTGGAGTTGTGGGGAATGAGACTTCTAGCAGTGAGGTGCAGTCTGTCTCTCGCTGTGAGGAGGCTGTAGTTGGGGAGGTAGCAACAGCTACCAGCAGTGAGGTGCAGCCCAGCACCTGCTACAAGTGGCGAGTAGTTCACAGTAATGGAAGGCGCATCACAGTAAGGAAAGTTAAGAGTGAAGATCTGAAGGTAGGAAATCGCTTCTCTGTTCTTCAGGATAAATGTACTTCAGTGGCCAGTGAAGGTAAGGGTACTACTGCCCCTGCTAATGGAGGTAAGCGCATTCTAGTGGTTGGTGACTCTCAGGTAAGATATATTGACCGTGCTTTTTGTAGTAGGAATAAGAAGATGAGAGATAGAGCGTGCTTCCCTGGAGCTGGTGTTGGGGACATAGTCAACAGGCTGGATAATATCATGTCAGGTAATGGGAACTAGCCCATTACCTGTCTCAGTGCTGGTGGAAATGATATTGGGAAGGGTAGGAGAGAAGAGCTGCTAGATAAGTACAGGTCAGCTATAGATTTCATTAAGTCTAAGGGAGGGATCCCAATCATATGTAGCATCTTGCCTAGAAGGGGAGTAGGAAATGAATGGTTGTCTAGGGCAATTGGTGTAAATTGCTGGCTAGACAGATACTGAAAGGAACTTGCAATCCCATTCATTGACAACTGGAACAACTTTCATGGCAAACATGATATGTATGCAAGGGATGGGGTACATCTCTCTGGGGCTGGGGTGGTAGCACTTGCAGACTCAATTGAGAAGGGCATTGCTGAAATGCCTATGATTTTAAACTGATGGAAGATAGAGGTATGGGTGTGTGTGGGAAACAAGCAGGTTGCAACACTAGGGTTGGAAACAGTAAATGTATAAAAGGCATTCAGCATGAAGTTATAAATAAAAACAATAGATCAGGTCAGCAAACAAAGGGGGACAGCAGAGGGCAGCAAGGGTCTAGCTCCCTTAAGGTTTACTATACTAATAGCAGGAGTGTAAGAAATAAGATAGATGAGCTAAGATTAATTGCAAGTGCAGGAAACATAGATATTATTGCTATAACAGAGACCTGGCTCAATCTGAAAGATGGAGAGATGTCCTCTGAATGTCACATACAAGGCTATAAATTATTTCACACTGACAGGGTCAACAGGAAAGGTTGTGGAGTAGCGATGTATGTCAGAGACAATTTAAATTGTTGTGTTAGACAAGATATTAAATTAGAAGCGTCAGCCACTGAATCTGTTTGGTTACAGCTTCTCGAGGGCCGAGAAAAACTAATTTTGGGTGTGATTTACAGGGCCCCAAATCTTGATAGGGAGTGCAGTAAACTTCTATGGGACGAAATTCGTAAGGCATCTACATACGAAAATGATGTGCTAATGGGAGATTTCAACTATAGACAGAATGACTGGAGCAATTTGACAGGAAATTTAGAGTCAGGTGACCTTCTTGATACGATCCAGGATTGTTTTTTAAAACAGTTTGTGACAGAGCCAACTAGGGGAAATAACCTCCTTGACTTGCTTCTTGCCAGTAGGGAAACACTAATTAATAATCTTGAGGTTAATGATGAGCTTGGGGAAAGTGATCACAAATCACTCAGTTTTAATATATCATGGAATTCCCTAATAATGGCAATCAAGTCTCTGTCCCTGACTTCCGCTTGGCTGATTTCATAGGACTGAAAAATTACTTAGGTGGGCTGAACTGGAATGACCTGACTAAGGGTCAGGTAGGTGGTGATGGTTGCCGATATGACGCTTTCCAGGGCATAGTTCTAGCTGCTCAGTCAAATTATGTTCCAAATGGGGGAAATCAGATCAAACAAAAATGATCCTAAATGGATGAACAATATATTAAAATATCTAATTGGTCAAAAGAGAGGCATATATAGGCAATTCAAAAGAGGAGAGGGGCAATTAAGAAATCTATATATTCAGTTAAAGAGAGAAGTAAAAAAAGAAATTAGAAAAGCAAAAGCAGATTATGAGGTTTAAGTTGCAAGAGATTCGAAGACTAACCCAAAAGGATTCTTTCAAGTATACAGAAGTAAGATCAGGGACAAGATAGGCCCACTCAAAAGTTCCTCGGGTCAGCTCACTGACAGTGATAAGGAAATGTGTAGAAGTTTTAACACATACTTCCTCTCAGTTTTTACACAGGAGGACACCAGCGATATTCCAGAAATGATAAATTATGTGGAACAGGACGATAATAAACTGTGCACGATTAGGGTCACAAGTGACATGGTCCTTAGGCAAATAGATAAATAAAAACCTAACAAATCCCCAGGCCCTGAAGAACTGTATGCAAGGGTTCTAAAGGAATGTAAAGAGGAGCTTAGCAAACCTTTGGCTAATCTTTTCAACATATCACTACAAACTGGCATTGTGCTAGATAAGTGGAAAATGGCAAATGTGATACCTATTTTCAAAGCAGGTGACAGGTCCTTAGCTTCGAACTATAGACCAATAAGCCTAACCTCCATAGTGGGAAAATTTATGGAATCAATAATTGCCGAGGCAGTTCGTAGCCACCTTGAAAAGCATAAATTAATCAACGAATCTCAGCATGGTTTTACAAAGGGGTGTTCCTGCCTTACGAATTTATTAACTTTTTTCACTAAGGTATTTGAGGAGGTAGATCATGGTAATGAATATGATATTGTGTATATGGACTTCAGTAAGGCTTTTGACAGGGTCCCACATCAGAGACTATTGAGGAAAATTAAGGCACATGGAATAGGAGGAGAAAATTTTTCCTGGATAGAGGCATGGTTGACAAATAGGCAGCAGAGAGTTTGCATAAATGGGGAGAAATCAGAGTGGGGAAGCGTCACGAGCGGTGTTCCACAAGGGTCAGTGTTGGGCCCCCTGCTGTTCACAATATACATAAACTACATAGATGAGGGCATAAAGAGCGACATCAGCATGTTTGCCGATGACACCAAAATAGGCCGTCGAATTCATTCTGAAGAGGACATTAGAGCACTCCAGGAAGATTTGAGTAGACTGATGCAGTGGCCGGAGAGGTGGCAGATGCAGTTTAATATAGACAAATGCAAAGTTCTAAATATTGGACAGGAAAATAACCATGCCACATATAAACTAAATAATGTAGATCTTAATATTACGGACTGCGAAAAAGATTTAGGAGTTCGGGTTAGCAGTAATCTGAAACCAAGACAACAGTGCATAAGTGTTCGCAATAAAGCTAATAGAATCCTTTGCTTCATATCAAGAAGCATAAATAATAGGAGTCCTCAGGTTGTTCTTCAACTTTATACATCCTTGGTTAGGCCTCATTTAGACTATGCTGCACATTTTGGTCACCGTATTACAGAATGGATATAAATGCTCTGGAAAAATGTACAAAGGAGGATGACAAAGTTGATCCCATGTATCAGAAACCTTCCCTATGAGGATAGACTAAGGGCCCTGAATCTGCACTCTCTAGAAAGACGTAGAATTAGGGGGGATATGATTGAGGTGTATAAATGGAAGACAGGAATAAATAAAGGGATGTAAATAGTGTGCTGAAAATATCTAGCCTAGACAGGACTCGCAGCAATGGTTTTAAGTTAGAAAAATTCAGATTCAGGAAGGATATAGGAAAGTACTGGTTTGGTAATAGAGTTGTGGATGAGTGGAACAAACTCCCAAGTACAGTTATAGAGGCCAGAACGTTGTGTAGCTTTAAAAATAGGTTGGATAAATACATGAGTGGGTGAGGGTGGGTGTGAGTTGGACCTGATTAGCTTGTGCTACCAGGACGGTTGCCGTGTTCCTCCCTTAAGTCAAGGTGACCTGACCTGACTAGGTTGGGTGCATTGGCTTAAGCCGGTAGGAGACTTGGACCTGCCTCGCATGGGCCAGTAGGCCTGTTGCAGTGTTCCTTCGTTCTTATGTTCTTATGTTACGAGTTAAGGTGGTGAGATGATGGAGGTTACGAGTCAAGGTGGTGAGATGATGGAGGTTACGAGTCAAGGTGGTGAGATGATGGAGGTTACGAGTCAAGGTGGTGAGATGATGGAGGTTACGAGTCAAGGTGGTGAGATGAGGGAGGTTACGAGTCAAGGTGGTGAGATGATGGAGGTACGAGTCAAGGTGGTGAGATGATGGAGGTTACGAGTCAAGGTGGTGAGATGATGGAGGTTACGAGTCAAGGTGGTGAGATGATGGAGGTTACGAGTCAAGGTGGTGAGATGAGGGGAGGTTACGAGTCAAGGTGGTGAGATGATGGAGGTTACGAGTCAAGGGTGGTGAGATGATGGAGGTTACGAGTCAAGGTGGTGAGATGATGGAGGTTACGAGTCAAGGTGGTGAGATGATGGAGGTTACGAGTCAAGGTGGTGAGATGATGGAGGTTACGAGTCAAGGTGGTGAGATGATGGAGGAGAAGGTAGATCTCGCTGAAAAATATATTTGGAAATAATCTGTCAGTGTTAATATTTTCCATAACTAAATATTGTCTGTAAGTTTTCAAATTCAGAATGTATTTCTTCATTAATTTCTTGTTTATTCAAGAACAAATTAATTTTATTACCAATTAAAAAAGCACAAGTGAAAATTTATGAGACGATTAGGTACTTATTTAAGGTACTTGCGTACCAACTTACTGGTACTAGAGTGAGGGTGGTGAGTGGGTGTGGCCACGATGGCGTAACCAGAGACTGGAGCGTAAGTGCAGTGTGTGGGCGGTGGTGACCACCACACCCGCACTCCGCCTCGCCCGGATGCTCGGCATGACAGTGCCGCTGGTGGACACAGCGGTGCTGGGGAAGCAAAGAACTGTATTATCATAAGATATATACCACAGGAGCTGTGAATCGACCCCTGCAACAGAAGTAGGTGAGTACAAATAGCCGAGTACAGAGGTTCCTAAACTGGGACGCGAAGAGATTTTCAGGGAGTATGCCAGTGAGTCCTGACATACTCGCTGGAGTCTACCTGCAGGGGATTCCGGGGATCAACACCTCCGCGGCCCGGTCCACGACTTGGTCTCCCGGTGAATCAGGGCCTGATCAACGAGGCTGTTATTGCTAACCGCAGGCAGCCCAATGTACAAGCCACAGCCCGGCTGATCCGGTACCGTCTTTAGGTATCTGTTCAGTTCCCTCTTGAAGACAACCAGGGGTCTACTGGTAATGCCTCTTATTGCTGGTGGGAGGTTGTTGAACAGTCTTGGGCCCCGGACATTGTGTTTTCTCTTAGTGTACCAGTGACTCCCTTACTTTTCACTGGGGGTATGTTGCATCGCCTGCCAAGTCTTTTGCTATCGTATGGAGTGATTTCTGTGTATATATTAGGAACCAGTCCCTCCAGAATCTTCCAGGTGTAGATTATGATATAGCTGTCTCGCCTGCGCTCCAGTGAGTACAAGTCAAGTGTTTCCAGGCGCCCCAGTAGTTAAGGTGTTTGACACAACTTACACGTTCAGTAAAGGTTTATAATTTGCTTTTTAATTATTATCATTGATTTTTAATTTATATCTTTTTAGTCAATATTTTATAGAAAATATTAAAAAATAATGTATAAAAAAGTGAAATTTTAATGCAAGAACGCAAGAGAAATTTGCAGATTTTTAATATGACTCAACTTCTCGGGAAACTCACAGGATATATACATCAGGTGTATGTTGCTCAGTGTAAGATAAGATAAGATAAGATAAGATTTCGTTCGGATTTTTAACCCCGGAGGGTTAGCCACCCAGGATAACCCAAGAAAGTCAGTTCGTCATCGAGGACTGTCTAACTTATTTCCATTGGGGTCCTTAATCTTGTCCCCCAGGATGCGACCCACACCAGTCGACTAACACCCAGGTACCTATTTGCTGCTAGGTGAACAGGACAATAGGTGTAAGGAAACGTGTCGAAATGTTTCCACCCGCCGGGAATCGAACCCGGGACCTCCGTGTGTGAAGCGGGAGCTTTAGCCACCAGACCACCGTATACTATATACACCTGTATACACCTGTATACTAAAATTTACTTTAATCACCGTATTACTGATGGAATAATTACTAACTGATGGTTAAAAAACATGACAAACAGCTTTTAGTTTACTATGGAATGTAGGGTAAATGGAATAATTCCATTCTTAATATCTATATCCATAGGACAAACAGATAAATCTCTTAAGACCAGAATATTTGTAAGCAATGGCTAGTAAACAGTTATCCAGGCCTTTGGTCATTCATGTCAGGATTCATTTTAGTTTATGACAAATAAAATATGCTTCTCTTCCGTCTTTTTTCTCAGTTTTTTTTTATTTTCACGGGATAGATGAGGGAATAAATAGCGACTACACCAAAAATGTCGTCGAATTCATTCTGACGAGGACATAGTGAGCTACACGAAAATCTGAATAAACTGATGCAGTGGTCGGAAAAAGTGTCAGATACAATTTAATATAGACAAATGCAAACTTTATAGCTTTGGAAAGGATAATAACCGTGGCACTTTATAAACCACAATGTAGATCTTCATCCCTATGATGGCCAAAAGGGGATATAGGAGTTTAGTTTACCAGTAATCTTAAATCACTACAACAATATGTAAGTGTCACAATAAAACGACTAGTATTCTTGGCTTCATATCAAGAAGTATAAAAAGAGGAGTTTTTTGAGGTTATTCTTGAATTATATATAACGTTGGCTGCGTCTTATTTAGATTATGATACACAGTTCTGGTCACCGTCTTACACAATGGAAATAAATGCGCTGGAAAACGTATAAAGAAGGTTGACAAAGTTGATCCCGTGTATCAGAAATGTTTCCCAAGAGGCGAGATTGAGGGACCTGAATGGAAAACATAAACAAACAATAGAAATGTAAACAACAAGACTCACAGGATTGTAATCTAGTTAACAAAATTTAGATTTAGAGAGGATAGAGGAAAGCAATTGTTTGCTTAAGACTTGTGAAGGAACAACCTCTCCAGCAGCGTTATACACCTTAAAGCTGTCTAGATTTAAAAATATGTTACTTAAATACATGAGTGGGTGTGGGTGGGTGTGAGTGGGTGTGGGTGAGTGTGGGTGGGTGTGGGTGGGTGTGGGTGGGTGTGGGTGGGTGTGGGTGGGTGTGGGTGGGCGTGAGTTACATCTGACCAGCTTGGGCTAGCAGTGGGTGTGGGTGGGTGTGAGTTGCATCTGACCAGCTTGGGCCAGTAGTGGGTGTGAGTGGCATCTGTCCAGCTTGGGCCAGTAGTGGGTGTGGGTGGGTGTGAATGGCATCTGACTAGCTTGTGCCAGTAGGCCTGCCGTAGTGCTCATTTTTTCTTTGAACGTAAGAAAGAAGGAACATTGCAGCAGGTGGGTGGGTGTGAGTGCCATCTGACTAGCTTGTGCCAGTAGGCCTGCCGTAGTGCTCATTTTTTCTTTGAACATAAGAAAGAAGGAACATTGCAGCAGGCTGTCTTTGTCCACCTTTGGCTTAAAGTACACAGTGTAGAGGGTCCTGAACGACTCCTCATTAAGATGTTGGAATTAAGATGTTGCTAGGCGCCAGTATATTGCAGCAGTTTTTTGGCTGATGTGCAACTCAGATGTGCCCTGTGTTATACTCATGCCATGATCCTTTTCTTTGAGTGAGGTTTGTAGTCTCTGGCCACCTAGACTGTACTCCGTCTGTGGTCTTCTTTGCCCTTTCCCAAATCTTCATGACATTGCGCTTGGTAGGGTTGAACTCCAGAATCCAGTTGCTGGACCAGGCCTGCAGCCTGTCCAGATCCCTTCGTAGTTCTGCCTGGTCATCAACTTTACATCATCTGTAAACTGGAATACTTCGGAGTTTATTCCTTCCTTCATGTCGTTCAGAAATACCAGAAACAGCACCGGTCCTAGGACCGACCCCTGTGGCACCATGCTTTCGCCCACTCTTGACACCTCGCCACGTACCATCACCCGTTGTTTCCTTCCTGATCATTTGCAGTGACTTTCCTGTTATTCCTGACTGCTCCTATGGCTTTTGCGCTAATCTCTTGTGTGGAACTGTGTAGAAAGCCTTCTTACAGTACAAGTAAGTGTAGTCTACCCACCCGGCTCTCTCTCTCTCTCTCTCTCTCTCTCTCTCTCTCTCTCTCTCTCTCTCTCTCTCTCTCTCTCTCTCTCTCTCTCTCTCTCTCTCTCTCTCTCTCTCTCTTCTGCCTTGCTTTTGTCACTTTGTCGGAAAAATTCAGTATGTTTGTTTACAGTATTTCCCCTCCCTGAAACCTTGCTGATTATCGTGTTTAAGTTCATTCCTTTCTCGGTGCTCCGGCATTCCTTTCCTGATAAGCTTCTTCATGACTTGAATACTATACATGTCAGTGACACTGGTCTGTCGTGTAATGCTACCTGCCACTCTCCTTTCTTAAAGACTGGGACTACATTTGCCATCTTCCATACCTCAGGTAGTTGTCCAGTTTCAATGGATGTGTTGAAGATTTCTTTTAGTGGCAAAACAGCATCTCTGCTCCCTCTCTAAAAACCCACGGAGAGATGTCTGGTCCCACCGCCTTTGAGGTATCAAGTTCACATAGCAGCTTCTTCACCTCCTCCTCAGTTGTGTGTATTTCATCCAGCACTTGATGGTATACCTCCCTATTCTGAATTCCTGGAGTCCTTCCTATTTCCACTGTAAATACTTTTTAAATCTCATGTTGGGCTCCTCTCATACCTCTTGGTCGTTTCTTGTGAGCTCCCCACCTTCCTTCTTCCGTCTGATTAACTGGTCCTTGACTGTTGTTTTCCTCCTGATGTGGTTATACAACAGCTTCAAGTCAGACTTGATTTTCGATGCAATGTCATTTTCGTATTGTCGCTGAGTCTCCTTATCTGTGTATATTCGTTTCTGGCTCTTCAGTTAATCTCTTTATTATCTTGGGTTCTTTGTCTTCTGCACCTTTTCCTTCTCTAGCACACTTAGTTCTGGTCTTCCATTTATTTCTGTTTCTTTTGGGAACAAACCTCTCCTCTACCTCCTTGCATTTTATTGTCACATAGTCCATCATTTTTGTTACTGATTTTCCTGCAAATTCTCTCTCCCACTGAACACACCACAGGAAGTTCCTCATGCCTGTGTAGTCCCCCATTTCATAGTTTGGTTTTACGTGTCCTATTCCCGCTACCCTCTCCACTTGTAGCTCAGTTATATAATCAAAGCACAGAACCACACGGTCACTAGCTCCAAAGGGCCTTTCGTACGTGATATCCTCGATGTCCGAACTACTCAAGGTGAATACTAGGTCCAGTCTTGTTGGATCATTCTCACCTCTCTCTCTGGTAGTGTCTCTAACATATTGATGCATGAGGTTTTCCAGTACTACATCCATCATCTTGGCTCTCCATGTTTCGGGACCCCCATGGGGCTCCAGGTTTTCCCAGTCAATCTCCTTGTGATTGAAATCACCCATAACTAGTAACTTTGCTCTCACCATTTGAGCTCTTCTGGCCACCTCGGCTAGTGTGTGCGTTGTACACTACTGCAATTATCACCTTGTGGCCCTCAGATTGGATTGTTCCTACTATGCAGTCCCTTTTGCCCATTCCATCCATTCCTTCCATTTCCTCGAATCCCCATCAGTTTTTAATAAGCAATGCGACTCCTCCTTCCCCTCTGTTCCCTCTATCTTCCCTGAGGATTTGATAGCCAAGTGGAAAGATTTCATCTGCTATCATTCTGGCGAGTTTCGTTTCTGTGAGTGCTATTATGTCTCTGGATGTCTCCTTGATTCTTTCATGCCACTCCTCACACTTATTTGTATACCAAACCTTCAACTTCTTTTCTAAAACT